TTGTTTCAAACAATGATTAACCCCTTGAGCGTTCACAGCGGCAATGACGTACATGCATCCCTCTCCAAAAGTATTAGGACACCTGTTGATTTTGTATAAATTGTAATCTCTCATTCAGTTTAAATAATGTTTTATGTTTAGTATTAAGTTTTATAGCATCATATATTGTCAATAGTACACATTGATACTATTCATACCTTTTGAGTTATACCTAATTAAATTATCCAATTTTCATTCCATTTTTTAATTATGATCGCGGTGGATTTTCGTGTTCGGATCGATCGCATTCGAAAGGATAAAGTCTTATCTATTTTCTTAAGAAAAATAATTAGCTGCATTTATCTGCATTCGTGGGAGTTACAGATGTGCAAGTTATATGATTTGCACTGACTTCGGGGAAAACAGTAACGAAAACACATAAGCCACTTTGAAAGAAACGGTGGGATTACTTGTAAAGTGTGTTTTTTTTTAGAGTGATAGCACTTTCGATAGGGTTATCTGTAATTTGACGCTTGGTAGACAACATTTTGTTTCGACATTTCAATTTTGTAAGCTTTGGCAAATCATCATGGAAAGACTGAAGCCACAACAACGTTTAAAAATTGTGGAAATTTAGTCCTGTTCGCCGAACTTATAGAGCACTTCGTGAATTTCATGGTCCACATAATCGTCCATCAGAGCAACTTATTCGTCGAACTATTGATTTTTGAACAACATTTACTTCACTCGATTAAAAACCAGAAACAAGATAAAGAACTACGTACGCAAGAAAATATCGGTGCTGTAGGTGATAGTACTACACAAACAATCGATTTATTAAAAGAACAATTTTGTGATAAAATTATTTCAAGAAATGGTTCAGTGATTTGGCCTCCAAGATTATGTGACCTCACGCCTCTGGATTATTTTTTGAGGGAATATTTAAAGTCCCAGGTTTATGCTGATAAACCAGCAGTAATTGAATGCTTTAGAAGCAAACATAACTCGCGTTATTAACGAAATACATTCCCAATTACTTGAAAAAGTGGTTAAAAATTGGACCGATCGAATCCGATTTTTCCACACTTAAATGTCACAAAATTATTTTTCAAATAAAAAAAATTTGGCTTCAAGCTTAAATTTTTGTGTTTTATTTCAATTCAAATTTCGATCGCTCTAAAAATAAAACAGGCTTTACAAACGTAATCTTTGAACAATGAAAAAAATAAATGAAAATGGTGAAATAGATAAGTAAGGCTGTCATTTTGTATGAACAAAATTTAAAAAATCCATGATGCTTTATTTTGCATTAAGAAAAGCCCGAGTATATTATATGGCATGCAAAATAAATGGAAATCCCACGATTTTCATCGCTACAAATTTATTCCCGCTTTTTGGGTGACAATACCCCACTGTGCGTCGGTTTCATCTTCGATTCTCATCACCGAGATCCTCATCTTTCCCCGTAGAGACTGTCTTCGTTTGCGGTCTCCGCGGCACTCGAGCGAATTGGCCTCTACACTTCACGTGTAACAGCACAGCGCAGCAGGCCAAGCATTTCGCCAACCTGTTATTACGCCACAATGGCAGAATTAATTGTTCGAAACATTCTGCGAGCAAAAGCTTCGTAGACACCGGCTCTTTCTTTTCACCGCATACCTCTCCGGTGTTCTCTCCTTTTTCCCTTCGTGGCTACCCCATCTGAGTGATTCGTCTGGTTTAAACGTCTGGGATAATGTATCTCTGGCTCGACAACGTGTACTTTTCCTCCGCGCCGGACCCGCCTCGTGGAGGGTCTAGCATTTATTTTTAAGTTTAGCGAAATCAACGCTGCTACAATAATGTTGACGCAGGTATATATCGGGCGGCGTCTATTCACGTGCACAGAGAGTGAGTGATCCCGAAATTACCACTTATACGGAGTCTGCTCGAGAATGAAATCAAAAATTCGCTTCGCACTAGGTTCACGGAACGCGTTCAAATGACGTGTGTACCGAGGTTTTTAATTCTCTAATTATCGGAATTCCGATGATCATTCAATAAAGTTTCATTGGACATGCATTTTGATCAAAATTTCTTGTAATTTGAGTAAGCAATATAAAGCAGCTTTTATTAAGCAATGTAAAGCAGCTGATTATATAGTGCTCCGTAAATCTTAGTGTTAAAATGATAGCATTTTTTTTATCGAAAAATGCATTGTTATCCTTTTAATAACCCATTACAACAAGTTTAAAGCTTCTACAATTTTAAAATATTTCAAGGATGATAGAAAGGCCTAGTTTGTCAGACGATGTACAAAAACATGTTCGCGATAACTGCATTTGGCTGGAATCGCAAAAAATGACATTTTCAACTTCCTTATTTGTAACGAAAATTTGAATCACATTGTTTATAGATCTTGGTAACTTGTATACACGCTGAAGATTTCATTGAATCGGTTAACATTGTTACGAACTGCAAATTAAGTAAAAAGATTTTTACAAAATAAAAAGATTTCGACGTCTTTCAATGCCTGTCATTTGTCACTTCGTCCACAGATTTCGATGAAGTTTCCAGCATACATTTGAGTCATCGAAATGTACAAAATGTATCGCAAATTAGGTTTCGATAAGAAATTTAAAAAGTATCTTTTTCTCACGATTTAAAGCAATTATGATTTTGGCAACATTTTTCTTTTTTAACAGACTAGTCTCCTTAATATCTCGAAAAATACATTTGGTCCGATTTTTAAGAAGTTGTTCTGTTTTAAAAAGTGTCCAAATATTTTAATGACGAATTTAATGTATATCATGAATACGCCTGTCCCTTTTGGTGGCATCCGTACTAATCGAGTTATTTTCGTGCGCATACAACATACCACTACTGTATTTTACAGTAATTTTTGCGTTCTTTGCCGCGTTAAAGTTTAGCGATTCCATTTTATTTCACTCGAAAAGTATGATTTTTAAGCGTTTCACAGTGTCTTTCACAGTGTGTTTTTCAGTGTCTTTTACCGTTTTACAGCGATATTTCGAATTTTTGTGCTATTACGATGATTTAAACGTTTTGGTTTGCAGATTTATTTAAATTAATTGAAGCAGAAAAATGCGTTTTGCATCGATTCCGACATGCAAGTGTGCAAAGCTCACGAGCCCTTTCAACCACTTTTGACGAAGTTTCGTGGTTTTTCGCATTTTTTTAGCGATTGAAAATGCTCAACTTGAATATTCTTGCATATTTCGACAGAAGTTAACAAGAAGTATCGATAGCAGTCGATTTACATGCGAAAGTAATTGCTTCTAAAGTTTTTCTAGTATTTTCTCGCGTTATTTAGCTGCTTTTGAATTTTTCTGAAGATTCAAGATGTTTGTGGCTCGTACAGGAGAACTACCACGATTGGGATACTTTTGTTTAGGACAAGATAACGAAAACACTAAACGACCTAACTAATTCTAGTTTGATACATTCGAAAAATCAATTCTTTTACTATAAGAATGCGTAGTGCCAATAAGCTTTATCTACGTTTTAAAAAGTGTATTTTGTTCTACTCGTCAATTGGTTGTATTGAAAGGGACAGTGTAATAAAATAAAGTAATATTTGTATTAATCTTATAAGTTCTATTTTTTTATTGATTTTAAGTACATATAATATCATATAATAATCTTAAATTAGATAAATCTTCCTTGGCATCATTGGTTAATATCACATTTTAGTATTTTATGGCAAGAAATATATATATAATCCTTTCGATAAAAATAAACTGAAAAAAGTTAAGAAAAATTTCCAAATAAAAATATCTCAAAAATTATGTTAACAAATATCCTAAAAATAAATGGCATAATAAGCAAAAAATCTTTAGGGCACCTTTTATGCCGCATGTTTCATATACCCATTTACGACAGTTCTTGCAACAGTGCCAATCTTTATTGCTTTGTAAACGCTTTTTTACAAGCTTCACATTCGTCATCATATTTTGCCCATCTTCTCGTATTACGTGCACGTATGACAGTTTTCGTATCTGATCCAGATTCTGTAATATTTAACGAATCTGTACTTCTATTCTTCGAAAGCGATACTTTCCTCCTGACCTCCTTCTTTACTTCTTTTTATGGATTCTCCAACAAAGTCTCTTTTTTATTTTCCTGTTTCTTAACTAAATTACCTTCAAAAACATTTCTAATATGTTTCAAATTTTCTTTAGTCTTTGTTGCAGTATATGATTTAGTCGCGTCCCATCCATAAACATTTTCTGTGTCCCATTCATAAATATGGTAACAACATTAAAACTTTAACATGTTTAATTATTATGATAAATAAATATGAATAAATGAAAATGAATAAATAAATAAAAATTCTATCAAAAGTAACAGTACTTCGTACAACGTTACGAGAAAAAAAGGAAAAATATTACTTTTAAGCATAAAAATATTATGTAATAAATATAAATTCATTTATATTTAATAATTAATAATATAATTATTAATTAATAATATAATAATATAATAATTAATTAATATTATAATATATTAGTATATATTATAATATTATAATTATAATATATTATGATAATATATATTATATATTGATATTATTATTATTTATATTATAATTAATATAAAAATTAAATAATTNAAACAAGTATAATTTTATTGTAAAAAGATTCATCATTTTTGAAATAATGGTAATGTCTCGTAGAATATGTATTTCATTTATGGTAGTCCTCATACTCAAGTTTAATTCGATAGAACTTGTCAAAATCTAGTACATCTACTTCTAAGAGATCATTAAGACGCGTTTTCTCCAGCGTGTGCGCGGCTGGTTGGTTCATTAATATTTAAGTATTCATTGATATTTTAGCATTTAAGTAAACGTACATGCAGAATAAATATAAGTTTTCTGTTTCTTCCAAGAAATAATTACAATCGAACAAGTTTTAAGCATTAACTGGTGGGCACAATGGTATGCGAAGGAGAGTTAATGACAACAAATCAAATAGTCGGCGCCGAGGAAGAAGCAATAAAAATCTGCACAGGTAACTTACCCATAGTTCTCTGCGGTCGGTCTTGGCCATTGTTGTTGCGCGGCGTAGTAATTCTCGCTGTAGTTATAATGCTGAGGATAACCAGTGGTGGTTGTTGCGGCTGCGGCTACCGATGTTTGACCGTAGCTTTGATAAGTCTCAGCACTGCCGTAGTGCTGAGACTGAAACGACTGTAAATTCATTGTGTTGAAAGCGTTCAGTTGTTGACTGTTCAGCTGCTTGCGGAGCCGAGCCCGTCTATTGCTGAACCAGACCTGGACACGCGCTTCCGTCAAGTTTGTCCTGTAAATTCAAATATATTTTATAATAAAAATTAAATTCTGAGGCAAGCTTAGAGCAAAAACAAATTTATAATAAAAATTCCATTTATGTAGAAATTTATATACAACCTTTGTACAAATTTGTAAAAGTCTAAAATAAAAATTCAATTTATATAGAAATTTATAACGAAAAATAAATTTATATAGAGAAACTCATAATAAAAAGTAAATTTATATACAAATTCATATAAATAACAAAAACTAAACGTTATTTTAACTAGGTGTTCAAAATAGAATTGCTTCACACTTTGTTTTAGTCACAACTTTTGCGTTCGTTACTGTGAAGAATAAATGACAAGAAAATTTATTTATTTTCTTTTACAAACATCGTAGATATCGAATATCTACATAGTTTCTAAAATTCGAGAAACGTGTAAATTTAATTAACCCTTAATTGGTGCGATGATTTTCACAAAAGTGTTCTGTATAGTATACTGTATGTAATATACTGTGTTTATAGAAGAAAGTGCAAAATAATGTGAGAATTTAATTTTAGACGAACGATCTACCGTATTTTATTCTTAGCTAGCGTATATGATAATAAAAACATGGAAACTTAAACATGAACTAAAAAATGAAATAGAAATAAAATATTAGGGTCGCTCATTTAATGGTTGAATGTATTATTAATGATTCTAAGATATGAAGCAATTATTAAACGCATAATTTTTCAATTTCTATCGTAAATCTTTCGCGATTTGTAAATCGTAAAATTTTATTAGCATATCTAGTTACATTTGCACGCTTTACTGACATGTATATTAACACGTTGAATGCCACGCCGGTTTTACAAAAATTGTCCGTAGCGCCACGATGAATTTTCTTTTATGTCATACATATATGTTGATATATTATCTGCAATAGATAAGTTACAGTGCATAAAACCATATTTGACATATTAATTGCGACAGGGGTCACTATTTGAATTGACGATGATAATAATACAAAATTTTAGATATTGACATTTGTTTTAAATTATATATATTCCTATCAATTTTGGGCACGCCGCTCACCGGTGGCTCCCATAGCGTCACCGCCAAGTTAAGTGCCGGTCACCGGTGACTCCCGCGGCATTCAACGTGTTAATTGAATTATTTCATCTTTGCATATTGTCTAGTTTCATTCTCGAAGCGTAGACAAACGACAACACGGTGGAACTTACTTTTGGGCTAGCTCTTCTCTGGTATAGACATCTGGGTACTGAGTTCGGTGGAAAGCAGCTTCCAATTGCTCAAGTTGTTCACCGGTGAACGTGGTCCTGCTTCTGCGTTGTTTCCTTTTCAACACAATTCCTGGCTCGCTTTCTGTATCTGAATCATCGCCGCTACTTCCGCCTGAAACAAAAGACGTAACTATGTAGGTTACGTAACAGAATCGTAATAAACACGTAGAAATTAATAGCAATAAGGCATGGTTTACGATCCAGTAATTCCCATCACACGGCGATGTGTGCAATGTTTTTTACGTTCGAACACTATAAATTTTTTACGTTGGAACACTAATCATGTTCTATTTCAGGATACTTGTGAATCAGTGTTTGCACGAAGAAGACAAATATGAAACTTATATTCTGCTTCGACATCTTTGATCTGCACTTTATCACATTTCATCGTTAGAATCGTTCACTGCGATCGATGGAGAAAAATTGATGAAAATAGTTGCAGTATTTACATTTTAAAATTTGTACATTCTGCACCGGGGACTGTTACGATTAATATGGAAAAATTCGTTGCATTGCAATTATTATTTTTTGCATTCGAATGTATTCGGTTATAATATTGTATTCTCTTTTCGTTGTCCCTAATCATGCTAAACTGCGAATTTTTATGCAAAATAAAAATTGTATTCATTAGTAGCAAGATATAGGAACTACGTAGACATTTACAGTAATTTCTCCTTAATTCGCGTTCAGATAGCGCATAAAAATGGACAATTTGGGAAGAGGAGATACGATTATTCAAGAACCTTGCGTCTTGTTTTTATTTTTATCGATTGTCAACAACTATAAAAACGAGAGGCAAGGCTCGAATGATCGTATCTCCTCTTTCCAAATTGTGCAATTTTGTGCGCAATCTGAGCGCGCGAATTAGGGAGAAATTCTGTATTCCTATTCTTCACAATTGCAGCGAGTTGAGAGCAACGCAATAATGTTTTCAAATTGTTTAAATGATTTTACTATTTAGCATTTGATCTACTCATTTTTGTCACGAATGCATAAAATCATTGTTCATCACATACTATAAAGGGTACTCCATAAACGCATGTCGATACTTGTAGGGGTAAATCTACAAGTAAATCTACAAGGTAAATCTACGTAAAAAATCATTACTACGTTTAAATTTTACCAGATCTTTATTAGATATAGAAATTTTAAGTTATTATTTTATTTATTAATTATCTCATTAATTTTTGAATGAGATCTAGATTGAAATTAATTTTAAATAGGGGTGAAATTGATTNTACTGTGTTTATAGAAGAAAGTGCAAAATAATGTGAGAATTTAATTTTAGACGAACGATCTACCGTATTTTATTCTTAGCTAGCGTATATGATAATAAAAACATGGAAACTTAAACATGAACTAAAAAATGAAATAGAAATAAAATATTAGGGTCGCTCATTTAATGGTTGAATGTATTATTAATGATTCTAAGATATGAAGCAATTATTAAACGCATAATTTTTCAATTTCTATCGTAAATCTTTCGCGATTTGTAAATCGTAAAATTTTATTAGCATATCTAGTTACATTTGCACGCTTTACTGACATGTATATTAACACGTTGAATGCCACGCCGGTTTTACAAAAATTGTCCGTAGCGCCACGATGAATTTTCTTTTATGTCATACATATATGTTGATATATTATCTGCAATAGATAAGTTACAGTGCATAAAACCATATTTGACATATTAATTGCGACAGGGGTCACTATTTGAATTGACGATGATAATAATACAAAATTTTAGATATTGACATTTGTTTTAAATTATATATATTCCTATCAATTTTGGGCACGCCGCTCACCGGTGGCTCCCATAGCGTCACCGCCAAGTTAAGTGCCGGTCACCGGTGACTCCCGCGGCATTCAACGTGTTAATTGAATTATTTCATCTTTGCATATTGTCTAGTTTCATTCTCGAAGCGTAGACAAACGACAACACGGTGGAACTTACTTTTGGGCTAGCTCTTCTCTGGTATAGACATCTGGGTACTGAGTTCGGTGGAAAGCAGCTTCCAATTGCTCAAGTTGTTCACCGGTGAACGTGGTCCTGCTTCTGCGTTGTTTCCTTTTCAACACAATTCCTGGCTCGCTTTCTGTATCTGAATCATCGCCGCTACTTCCGCCTGAAACAAAAGACGTAACTATGTAGGTTACGTAACAGAATCGTAATAAACACGTAGAAATTAATAGCAATAAGGCATGGTTTACGATCCAGTAATTCCCATCACACGGCGATGTGTGCAATGTTTTTTACGTTCGAACACTATAAATTTTTTACGTTGGAACACTAATCATGTTCTATTTCAGGATACTTGTGAATCAGTGTTTGCACGAAGAAGACAAATATGAAACTTATATTCTGCTTCGACATCTTTGATCTGCACTTTATCACATTTCATCGTTAGAATCGTTCACTGCGATCGATGGAGAAAAATTGATGAAAATAGTTGCAGTATTTACATTTTAAAATTTGTACATTCTGCACCGGGGACTGTTACGATTAATATGGAAAAATTCGTTGCATTGCAATTATTATTTTTTGCATTCGAATGTATTCGGTTATAATATTGTATTCTCTTTTCGTTGTCCCTAATCATGCTAAACTGCGAATTTTTATGCAAAATAAAAATTGTATTCATTAGTAGCAAGATATAGGAACTACGTAGACATTTACAGTAATTTCTCCTTAATTCGCGTTCAGATAGCGCATAAAAATGGACAATTTGGGAAGAGGAGATACGATTATTCAAGAACCTTGCGTCTTGTTTTTATTTTTATCGATTGTCAACAACTATAAAAACGAGAGGCAAGGCTCGAATGATCGTATCTCCTCTTTCCAAATTGTGCAATTTTGTGCGCAATCTGAGCGCGCGAATTAGGGAGAAATTCTGTATTCCTATTCTTCACAATTGCAGCGAGTTGAGAGCAACGCAATAATGTTTTCAAATTGTTTAAATGATTTTACTATTTAGCATTTGATCTACTCATTTTTGTCACGAATGCATAAAATCATTGTTCATCACATACTATAAAGGGTACTCCATAAACGCATGTCGATACTTGTAGGGGTAAATCTACAAGTAAATCTACAAGGTAAATCTACGTAAAAAATCATTACTACGTTTAAATTTTACCAGATCTTTATTAGATATAGAAATTTTAAGTTATTATTTTATTTATTAATTATCTCATTAATTTTTGAATGAGATCTAGATTGAAATTAATTTTAAATAGGGGTGAAATTGATTATAGTAGATCTTTTATGTAAAAATTGATTATAATGAATTTATATTATAAATTTGAGTTGTAATAGATTTTTAAAAGATGTTTAAATTGAAATTTTTAATTATAATAGTTTCGTATAGAAGTTTATGTTTCAGTAAGTTTTTAATAGTAGTTCAAATAGAAATTTTAAACACTATAATAAATTTTCATAGAAATCTAAATTAATCGATTTTAAATATCATGTAAATTTGTGAAAGGAAAAGCTACGAGAAAGTAAATACACGTTGAACGATAATAATTTAACAATATCTTGTACACAGGCGAGATAATAACTTTTTTGTTGGCGGTTGAAAACACGCACGTTTTATGTCGAAATTTACAAATAAAAAATTTGCAATCACCCAACGTAGATTACCATCGAGATTCTGAGATGGGAGACGTTCTAAAATAAATCATTCGTTGATTTTCCACCTAGAAAATCTTGGTTGCCGTAATGAAAGACTTGAAACATGCCACGCGGCGTGGTTGAAATTGATTAGGATAATTATTATAGTTTTATAAGCGGTCCTGAACGGGGGTTAAAGTAAAAATTGTAAATTCCTTAAAACACGCGATCGGGATACGTCTTATCGAAGAAAGGAATCGACGATGAAGTCCGAGCGATCCGAGAGATGGTACGGAGCACGCTTCTTAATAGCGGCAAGAAGGTCTCCCAGTCCAGCACGTGCTGCACGTCAGATACCGAAGATAGGAAGCGAGTCGTTCACGCCCACAGTTCACACGCCGGACTCGGCAACCCACCATTAAGACCCTTCTGATTACAGCCGTGCCAGCCGAACCTATACTAAACTAAAACACTGGAGAAATTAGGGTCCGCCGCGAAGAAATTAAGTTCTTTGACATGTCCCGTCCCACACGAGCTAAACGAAAGCCCGTCTATCGTACACGGCTCGCGTACTACTTTCGTTTACCAAAACATGCTCTCTTTCTTTATCACTGGATTTTGCGGATCTTTATCGGACATCAAAAATAACAATTATGTTAAAAATTCGACAGAATAGAATCGTCGATAGAGAATCGATTTTTATTCACATAAAGGCTAGCTAAAATTAAATTTCAAAGAGAATGTTAAAAATTGCAGTTATTTGCGAACTTTTAGCTGCTGTGGTTCCTAATTAACGCAATTTGCATCGACATGTTGTATTATACTGTTTACCGAATTAACTTTGTGTTGACTATAGCGTAAGTCGAGAAGTGACTACATAGAAAACATAGAACATAGGACAGAATTTGGTATCAAAAGTTATTAAAAGATGTTCTTTAACTTCTTCGGTAAAAGTAGTGTTAAATAGAAATTATTAGTGCACAGCTGCAAATGATCATTATAATTTGTGAATGAATTCTTCATGATTCATTTCAATAAATACACACATTTACGTTTTCTTGTACTCATATTTATAAAGAATTTATAAGAGAATTATAAAGAATTTATAGAATAGTATTTTATACAGAATTAATTAACGGTATTGTACTAATGTATCTATTTGCAATATTATAATTATGCTTCATGATGCTTCGAGATGCTTCAATTCCAATATCGAGTTATATATTAAATCAGTAACTGTTGTAAATCTTTTTGCATTAAAGATAACTTTTTTTATAAAATATACAATTCCATTAAAAAAAATTGAGAATCGTGAA